TAATATAATCCCTTTTTATATGTTTGTGTGCGCACATCTGCACGTGTGCAGGTTAGATTATGATGCCTTAGCATTTAAAAAAGCGATCAAACCTTCCCAATAAAAGTATAATGACCTGAGGAAAAGCATGATTGGGATTGAATAAATTCTGATGTGCGGCTGAGATGAGTAGCTGTAAGTCAGCAAGTGTAGGAACCCCTCAGTCATTATTCGTTAGTTCAGTGTCAAGATAAAGTGATCAATGGAAAAATATGTCAAAAATTGCGTAATTTAGTAAATTTGGTAAGTTCTTGAGCAAATATGAATGTGGTTAGAACTATAATGGCTCAGCACTTTCACTCTTTAGACATAGCAATAAGGCATAGTCAGTATCGCAAAGTATGGCAGATAAAATTGTCTAAGAGCTCAAACTTTAGTAGGACACATTAGAAAAAGCCGCAAAAATGGAATTGATAAAGCCCAATGTTAAACCAACCTGAGCAAGTGGTTTCTAAAAGAACAAATCTTATCGACAAAATAAAAAAATGGAGGTAATGAACAAGCGCATTAGTTTTCGGTCTTTATGTCGATATATTGTTAAACAGTGCACTTCAGCATGAAAGAAAAGGTAATGAAGGACACAATGAAGAATAGAAAAATGGTCTACTCATGGATTTACTATTCTCATCCATAATGGCTAACTGATGTATTAACAATGAGGAAGATTCAAAGGTTTTGGCTCGAGTGCTGATCTTGTGATACCTGATGACAACCTTTTATTCTAGTCGTGTTGTATTGATGAGTGACAAAACTACAATAGAAATGGGAGGAAAATGGATAGCCTACATTTGTAGATATAGAGGTTATTCGATCCAATAACAAAGGTGATTCAGGAAGAAATCTTACGGGGTAATAATCCTAAATCTCAAGTACAATCATAATGACATGTTAAACATCGAAATAGTAGAGAGTATAAGAAACCTATACAAGAACGAAATTGAATTCCGGGAAGACGAAATTGACAAATTGAGTTATCTCTTGGTAACGGATATCTAAGGAGAATAATATAATTATATATACGGATTGTGATTTGAGGAGGATGTGATAATGAAAATAAAATAAAATAAAAGGGAGACAGGGAAAAAAATATTGGCGTAGCTTTTCCATGTGCAAATATCTAGGTATTTAAAAATAGTTCACACTTTGCGACCAATTAAAAAGCAGAGCAGAACGGGGTAGAATGAAGGTAAGGAGCCCCGTAAATGGACCCTGTTACCGGTAGTGGAGATAACGCTTCACTAAACCCACTTATAGCGACACTCTTAGGCGACATTGGAGAAGACGTGCAAAGAATTGTGTGAATAAATAAATGGGCGATATGAAGTGGAATTAAGAGAAAGAGATGCAGCACTAAAGACAGAATACAAAATAGGGGCGAGAAGTAGTGCCACGATTGAACAAAAAATTGATCAAGGGGATTGGCTTCACGTGTCACCTTGACTATGCTAACAATGGCGCCTCTCACTGACGATGCCTGGTAAACGTTTGATAATGTACTAAGTCAATGGCTGATTCTGGAAATCACGAATACTATGACAGAGGACACAGGTCTAGGTACGTTCCACAAGGTCTCTTTGACGCTCCAACCAAGTTGCGAAAACGAGGTCGAACCAACACTATAAAACTAAGAGACGGTGACCAAAAACGTCCGTCTTCATATCTACGGATACTTTCTCACATTTGATTATGCGAACTTAATTTGGAACTGAAATCGAGAGAAAAGCAATTAACATCATCTATAAAAGCAGTTTGATTATTAAAATACAAAATAGATAAATATATTAAGATCATTAGAGCAATCAAGGAAGTTAAGCTCCAGAAATCCAAGGATAATTTTTCTATTGCCATCTTTATGAATATATCTCATTTGATAAAGAGTCCGATCTGCTGTAAAGCAATAGTAAAGCAAAAGATGAAGTGTGATAAAACCAACCAAACTGACCTGTTCTGCTTCCTGTCTGAGTACTTCGGCAGAGGCATTCTTATCTTTCATAAACGCAGCAATAGTATCCTTCTCGAGACATATGTCCCTGAGAGCTCTAGCAGTCTTGCCTGTCTCTTTACGGCTGTGAACAAAGATCAGGATCTGATTGCGACCCGCGTGTTCAACGACTTTATCATAGACTATTTCATTCATCAATTGAAATCGTTTGACTGCTTTCTTTTCAGTAATGCCGATATATTGTTGGATTAAGGGAACCGGGCGGTAGCTAAAGGTAGAACAAGGCAAAAAATTATGAATGGGAAGGAATCGTGAAACGCACTTAAGCTGTGCTACATATTGAGGGGACAAATGCCCCAAAATACAAACCAAGCATGTATACAGGAAATGAAAGCAAAAACCTATTCGATTATGGCTGGGCGTTAAATTAGCTTAAAGAATTTCACAATCTTCAGTCCAAAATGAAGTACCCATTCTTTAAAAAACAATATTTCACGGGAATTATGGCAGATAAAATATATTAATTTTTTAAAGAAACATGGCTAGAATGTGATCCATCACCACAGTCAAAACAGTCAGATTTTGATCCTTAGTATAATTAAAACTTAAATTTTACAACCAATGGTTCCCAGGGAGTCTTCGCTCCTTTTCCACTTGAGCATATCATTCCAGTATGCGGATGAATTGGCACAAACAATATGTCACGAAAGTCCCAGCCTTGATAGGCCAAAATAAAAGCATCCAGAAAAATTGTTATTGAATCAAAGTAGGATCGATGCTTACCTGTTGTCAAATGCATAAAGACCTTTGGCACAGTCTACTCGCAAGAAGGTTGCCACATCTTCATAATTAGGCAGAGTAGCGCTGAGGCCGACTAAGCGAACTCCACATGCTTCCAGGGCAGAAGAGCCATCTACTACTAAAGTGGTCGAAGCATTCGCCTCAACAGCACGTAAGGTACGGGCCACAATCGCCTCAAGTATGGGGCCACGATCATCATGAAGAAGATGAATTTCATCAAAAATGATAAGCCGAACCAAGCTAATATAGGCTCGCTCATCCCCCCCCCGGCGTGTGATCACATCCCACTTTTCTGGTGTGCAGACAATCACTTGAGTGTCGAAAATCTGTTCTCTGCTGAGCTGATGGTCTCCAGTTAGTTCTTCTACTTTTATACCGTAGCTACTAAGACGCTGAAGAAAAATGGAAATTTAATTGATCAAGTAGTGTAAGTGGACTGTGTGAGCGTGTCCCCTTGATGAGTTACATAAATTCTCCCAGATTAAAGATGGAAAAAACGTAAGTTGGCAAAGCGAATGGGAAATAGACCCGGTTATTAATTATGAACCAAGTAAATTAATAGAGTAAAAAATGATAGCAATATCATGTACTTTTACTCATAAATGAATACAAAATCTATCAAATTGACTAATTATTCAACAAAAATATATAGCGCTTTAGACAGATAAAAATCAATTCAAGTCTAGTAGCTAAAAATTAATTGTAGATTGGAAAAAAAGTCATTGAATAATATCCGAGAGTCTAGCAAGAAGATGAGGGGAAAGAGCCTTCATGAGGATAATTAAAAATAGATACTTATTACTAGAATCTTTATTCAAGTGGAGTAAAATCGAATTAAATTAGGTTTGGCTGCTACATGTGATTAAGAGAAAGACATTTTTCCTATCAGACATTATTTGAAAAGAATCCGTTCCGGACGTGATTAAATATAAATTTGGCATTACGAAGAGTAAAGCAAGCTTCCACTTTTAGCCATAAATTCATGCAAGGAAGGCGGTAATGCGTCTAGTAGAATTTTAAGAGAACCCAAATGAAGCAATAATCACAAGTATGGAATCATGAAAGGTATGGAATAAGGAACTAAAATAGAGTATGTAAAGTCCACTAGAAAAGTGGATTTTTGTTAGCAAACAATAGTTAAGAAAATCGAACACTGGCGAATACGATAGGATAATCGTAGTGAGAAGTAGACTTATATCATGTCCCTTTACAATAAGCTACATCGATTTGCTCCTTTAAAAGATAGAAAGAAATTGCGTACTATCATTCTAGCATTACAGTGAAATTAAATGCAACGAAAGAGGCTGCTTTCAACCAAAAAAACTTATAT